ATACCTGGTTTCATGACCCTGGTCCTCCACAGACCTTACCTGAAGAAATCCCGTCTATCCACCTGATAAACTCACTCACGATATCTGACAGACCCAAGGATACAAACCTGTTCCATACACAGACTCCGCAGGCCTTACCCAAGAAACCAACTTCTACATCCTCACCCCTGGCCATACTCCCCAACCTTAGCCAAGTATGGAAGCTTTACCTATTGAACTTGATCGTACCAGGGAAACAGAGGTGCTCACTTACGCCACATCCCAGCTCCTCAGCTTTCTGCTGAGACAGCAGCTCCATCCACCCATCACACTTTCTTTACATATAATTCTTTCTTCGGCTCTGAGGCCTCACCTGACAGATCAGCTTTACCTACAGTGCTAGATCTGACCTGAGAAAGCATTTTTAAACTCACCATGGCATTTCCTGCCAACCTCCCTCTGCTTGCCCTTGGTTTCACCACTAAATTACCCAAGAAACACTGTGCTAGGCCCACCTCCTCAGACTTGGGATGCAAGCCTGGGACAGCAGCCTCTCGCATACCTTACCTGGGAGACTCAGAAGTACAAATCTGTGTTTCCTCTTAGTGCCTCAAATCTCTCCTGCCAATCCTGGACTTCACACACCTGTGTGGACTCCTTATAAGCCTTCCCAATGGATACGTCTCCATCCTTTGGACTGCTGCCAGCTCTTCAGTCTTGTCTTAGGGATCCTGAACCACCTACCTGTGCCATCACTACAATGGTCAGATGTCACCGAACGATGCAGTTCTGACCTGGTCTCATTCATGGACTTTTAGTCTATTTTGTAAAACTCGGCTCTACCTGCCCCTCCTACCTTCAGTTTCCTGTGACGCTGGGGATTGAACCCAGGGCCTTGATCATGTTAGGGACACCTCTAGCTCCTGCCCAGCTTTAGTTTCAGTGTCCATACCAGACCAACCAGTTCTACTTAAGTGTGATTAGCCTGGCTCCTCAGGCCTCCCACAGCAAACCCAGTCACACACTTTTGTCAGATTCCAGCTCCTGAGACCTCAGCCATGTCTCATAGATGCCATTACACACACTTGACTAGATACTACTTGCAAATCTTGGTGTCTCCTGTTGCTAGTGTCTGACACAGGCTTACGATATCATTCTCCCTGTGCACTCAGGCCCCCAGACCTTTATCTTCCATGAGCCTCTCTCACATTGCACCCTACAGACAGAGGTCCTTAGTACCCTGTCTATGTGGCACTTGGCCTAGCTCCCCAGGCCTCACCTTTTATAATCAATCTACTCCTCAGCTCCTCACACCCCACCCCAAATGGACCCAATGACAGAAAGCAGCCTTGGATTTGTTAAGGATGCCTAGCAGCCTGGGACACCTGGGCAGAGCTGGTCAGGATGCTGAGAACCAGGTGATTGCCAGTTTTTGCCCAAGCCTGGGTTCACTTCTGAGTGATCAGCCACATACTACCCCATCTTCACTTTTCAGAACCTGTCAGAGACCCCAGTATATACACATACGTGTCTGGACTACCGAACCCTCTTTCCATAGAGTTAGGCTGAAGCACCTGTACATGTTCTTAAGCACTTCAGACCTCACTTGTTAGAACTATCTCTTTTGGTTTGGTGGTTTTGTTTTGTCTTGTTTTCCTTGACTTTTTCAGACAGGGTCTCCCTGTAATACCTGTAACTTGGACTGGAACTCACTATGTAGGTCAAGCCGGCCTGATCTCACAGAGCTCCAACTGCTTCTGCCTCTGCTTCCCAAGTACTAGAATTAAAGACATGCACCACCACCCCTGGCTTTAGTTGCTGTATTTTAAAATAGGATCTCATGGGGCTGAAGAGATGGCTCAGCAGTTAAGAGCACTAGCTGCTCCTATGGAGGGACCTGGATTTGGTTCCCAGCACCCACACAGCAGCTAAAAACTGTCTGTAACTCCACTTTCAGAGGCTCTGACACCCTCTTCTGCCCTTTGTGGGCACTGCACGCATGTGGTACATATACATCCATGCAGGCAAAACACACAAAATAAAAACTAGTAACAACAAAATCCTCAAAAAAGTAAGACCTCATCTAGCTCAGGCTGGCCTTGAACTCACTTTACATTCAAGGCTCGTTTGAACTTGTGATCCTCCACCCCAGCTCCCGAGTACTGGGATTACAGGTACGTGTCACCACACATAACTGTATCTTCATCTGTACTTTTCTCTGTCCTGGTTCTTCCTCCAACCTCACCTATTCTGGTCCTCATTCCTATTCAGACCTTTGTCTGCTCCCGAGCCTCAGCCATGGCACCACACGACACCTAACGGACTCCACTGTACATACCTGAATAGACAGTGCTAACCAAATCCTAGGGAAAATTAGTTCACTGATGTGTCAACTCAAGCTGGTCCTGACAGCCTTCACAGCTCATCTGCATACCTCTGCTGGATCCAGACAGGAGGCTACATCGAGTCAGGTCTAGCTGACTGAATCTCACCATTTGTACATACCTGTAGTGGACCAACTCACCCATCTTGCCTTGAGGCCAGTGCTGTACTCCTTGCCTGACCTGATCCCTCTATCCTGCCTGAGAGACTCTAGCTTCAGAACCTTCATCCCTTCCTGTCCCTGGCACCTCTGACTCAGCATTCAGCAGCACCCACCCTCATCCCTTCTTGGGTGCTGTGGTATATGGTACACCTAGCCAGCAAAAGAAGCCTCCACTGAACCTCTAATGTCCTCACCTGCCAGCCCTGGACCTACATCCCCTGTGCTCACTGTCACTCTCAGGCCTTGCCTGCAATGCCATCTCTCTGTCACATTCCAACTGCTTTGCATATGCTGGGCAGTTACAATGGGCACCCTATTCTTTTGGGCTCCATGGTTAGCAGGAACACCCACTCATTCCTCGCCATCACTTGCTCAGGTGCCAGACAGGGAGCAGAAAGGCCTCCCTTCTTCTATCAGGCATGCAACAATTGTTAGAAGCTGCAGTCTCTCGACTGAGCTGAACCATGAATGCAGAAAATAAGTCCAGTGATTCTTCTCAGTCTCCCAAGGGTGGAACACAACTAGTCTTGCTCTAGAAAGAAGTCAACTCATTATAGGCAGTGGATGGCTTAGTGCATTAGAGCTGCATTCTCTCCAGGAGGAAGAAAACAATATTTTAGGTAAACTGTGGTGGTGCATGCCTATTATCACAGCACTTAGGAGGTTGAAGTTGGAAAGGGGATGGGGTACAGCTCAGTGGGAGAGTGCTTACTTAGCATGTGCAGACCTGGGATTCAATCCTAGGCATCAAAATAAAAAAAAAAAAAGAAAGCTGAGCATGGTGGTACATGCCTTTAGTCCCAGCACTCAGAGGAGGCAGAGGCAGAGGCAGGTGGATCTCTTTAAATTCAAGGCCAGGCTAGTCTACACAGTGAGTTCTAGGTCAGCCAGCACTACATAGTAAGACCCAGTCTCATAAAAAAAAAAAAAAAAAAAAAAAAAAAAACGGGGGCGGGGGCTCAGTGGTTAACAACACTGGTTGTTCTTGAAGACCCGGGTTCGAATCCCAACACCCACATGTCAGCTAACTGTCTGTAAGTCCAGTCACAGGGGATCCGATAGCCTCTTCTGACTTCCACGGGCACTGCACAACATGGGTGCACTTACCTACATGCAGGCAATACACACATACACATAAAATAAAAATAAGTAAAATAAAATTTTTAAAAAAGGACTAAAGTGCCAATGTACTCTACAACATGGATGAACCTGGAAAACTCAATGGTAAAATAAATTAAAGAAGATAGACTCAAAAGGCCACATTTGCAGGGTGTAGTGGCGCACACCTTTAATCCCAGCACTCAGGAGGCAGAGGCAGGTGAATTTCTGTGAGTTTGAGGCCAGCCTGGTCTACACAGTAAGCTCCAGGCCAGTTGGAGCTACAGGGAGACCCTGTCTCAAAAAGACCAAAAAACTAAAAAAATAAAAAATAAAAAGGGCCACATTTGGGGCCGGGAGATGTGTGTTAAGTACCTGCTGCACAAGCCTAAGTGCCAAGTTCAGATCCCCAGCAACCACAGAAGTTCAACACTGACCTTTGGCCTCAACATACAAAGAAAAGCTAGGAACAAAAGAGCTCGCCTATAATCCCAGCACCCAGGAGGCAGAGGTAGGTGAATTTAAGTTCAAGGTCAGCCTGATCTACACAGCAAGTTCCAGACCAGCCAAAGCTATATAGTGAGACTGTGTCTCAAAAAGAAAAAAAAGTTCTTTAGAACCTTCAAATCAAGGTTACCCATCTGTGGGTGATGCTACACAGGAGAGAGCCTCCAATTCAAAGGCCAGTGCATAAATGCCCCGAAGGGTGACATCGCAGGTATGACCCGACCTCTGCCCAGACACACCTGTACCACACCCTCACAGTAGCCCTGTATCCTAAGCCTTTACAGCTCTTCTCACACTGCTGTGCTCAAGGAAGCTATCAGGAAACTTAAAGTTTATCCCCAGCAGGTAAGTCTTTTGGGACTGTCTGTTGCTATGGCGTGGCCTGCATCTGCCACCTGAGGCGGGGTTGGCTGTCAAGTGGCCTGGCCTGCAGCACCCAGGCTCCAGGCCCACTGCCTCCCTGCCACCCTCCCCAGCTGATCCTGCGGCTCCCTTCCTAGTCTACCAGGTCCCATGTCCTGTCTCACCCTGCCCCTTGATCTTTACAAACTGGCTGTTGCAGGGATAAAGGTCATCACCAAAAATAACTCACCACCTCAACTAAGTGAGGGGGCAGGGGCGGCTCTGATTACCCCACAGTGGGTGCTGCTGGCAGGAGCGCTACCTCGCAACGCCACTCAGAGCCCTCCCACTGACGAAGCAACTCTTTCCTGAAAGCCTACTTAAGGCCTCTATCCTTCCCAAAGCGAGACATGCAGCAGATGTTTAACAAATGCTGACCTGACCTCAGAAGCCCCTCCTGTGTGACTCAATGGCCATGACTTGGCAAAGGACACACCATTCACACAGCACAGGAAGTGCCTGTACTTACATCCCAGAACTCAAACATGTTTTGAGGATCAATTCCAAACTCCTTCACTTTGGCCTGTAAAGTAGAAAGGGAGAGAGGGGAGGAAGCAACAGTTAGCGGGACAAGAAGAGGAGCGGCAGGAGGCGAGAAGAGGTGCCAGGCAAGCTCCAGGGCCCGTCACCGCCCTCCCAACTCCATGTGGGGCGGGGTAAAGCAGCTTCTGAATTGCAGCTGGTACCCAGATCTGCCCACTCAGAATTGGACCCCATGCTGGCTCACCTCCAGCACATGAGGAGCCCTGCACTGACAGAGCCTCCTTTTAAAGGTGTATGCTAAAAGCCAGGGATACCAGGCGTGGCCCCCCAACCGCCCCAGGACATCTGAGCTCGGGCACAGAGGCCACTTCCCAGGCCAGGCAACACAGCCTGGACAGCTCCCCAGTCCCTCACGTCTGAGATGACTCCACCTGAGAGATCCCTAAGACCAGTCTTGTTCTTCCTAGGCCCTTGAGCAGGCAGAGTGGGCAGCTCTGGATGATGAGCAGCACTGAGCCATCTGGCTGCCCCCTACCCTACCAGCAGCACTGGAGGTGGAAGAAGTGGCAAAGGTGGGGTAAAGTCCTAGGTGTGGTCCCAAGCTCAGTACCCTCTATACCCTCAGGTTTACAGGCTTCCAGGATTATACTTCACTCCACCCTACTGAGCCCTGATAAGCTGCCTCTCCTGCTTCTCATGGGCTCAAGGACAGGATAATATGAAACCACAGATATGCTCTAGGCTATCTCTCATTAACACCACCTCACACAGTCACCAAGTGTAGCAAAAAGTCACTCCAGTGTCTGGTGACTGTGAGGGGGCTGGAGAGATGACTCAGGCCAAGAGCACATACTACTTTTTTTTTTTTTTTTTAAATACACATTTATTATTTTTATGTGTATGAGTATATTGCCTGCATGTATATAAGTATACCCATGTCATGCAGTTACACATTTATTATTTTTATGTGTATGAGTACATTGCCTTCATGTAAGTGCACCCATGTTGGTGCAATGCCTGCAGAGGTCAGAAGAGTGTTGTATTCCCCTGAAACTGGGGTTACAGACAATTGTTAGCTACCATGTGTGTGCTGGGAATTGAACCTGGATCCTTTGCAAGAGTAACCAGTGCTCTTAACCACTGAGCCAGCTCTCCAGCCCCACATATTGCTCTTGTTGACAATACAAGTTGAGTTGCCAGCACCCATGTTGGGCAGCTCACAACTGCCTTTTAACTCTAGCTCCTTTTGATCCAACATCCTCTTCCAGCCTCTGTGAGCATTCACATATACACAATACCCATACAGATACATATACACATAATGAAAATGAAATAATAGGGAGCTCAGCAGCTAAGAGCACAGATTGCTCTTGCAGAGGACCCGGGTTCGATTCTCAGCACCCATATGGCGGCTATGAACCATCCTTAACTCCAGCTCCAGGGGAATCCAAAGCCCTCTTCTGACCTCTGAGGCACTGCATGACATGGGTGCATACATGCAGGCAATACACAAATACACATAAAATGAAAAATTTTAAAAAGTTCTTTTAAATTTTTGTTGCCAGGCATGGTGGTGCATGCCTTTAATCCCAGCACTTGGGAGTCTGAGGCAGGCAAATCTCTGTGAGTTCACGGCCATCCTGGTCTACACAGTGAGTTCCAGGACAGCTGGAGCTACAGGGAGACCCTGTCTCAAAAAGACCAAAAAAAATCACTTTATTATTAAAAAAAATTTGATAAAAAGGTCACATGTAAAGCTGGCAAGGTAACTCAGGGTAAAGGTGCTTACTGTGCGAGCCTGGTGACCTGAGTTTTATATATAGAACCCATGTCAATGTGGAAGGAGAAAACCAGCTCCAAAGTTATCCCCCAATCTCCTCATAAGCGCTGTGGTATGTATATACACAGACAAGACAGACCGTCTCTCTCATACATACATACATACATACATACATACATACATACACACACACACCTCTCTCTCTCATAATAAATATATTCAAAATGCTACATCCATTCACTGGGGCTTAACAGCTTTAAAAGAGAAACAGGATCTACCTGGCACATCCTCTATGCAGGTCAAGGGAGGCCAAGTGTATGGGGTCATGGGGCTGAGTCACGCCTGGGAGATGGATGGGGTCATCAGGATCCCACTGAGTGCATAAGACTGAACAGACAGTAGGAAAGGCCAGATGGCTCACAGTGAACCTTCTATTTCAGCAGCCCAGCTAAGATGCTGTCCAATCTGGTAATCACACCTTGTTGGACTCTTGAGAGGCCTTCTCCTGACCTGGGCTTTCTCATGTGGACATGCAGGAGGCCACACTGGCACTTACCGTGTTGGTAGACAGGGCGACAAAGTGCTTCGAGACTGTAGATGGCTACGAAAGACAGAGGTAGATTATACCAAACCCATCCCAGAGGGACAACCCAAGGCAGGATCCTCCTGTCAATAGAAAGACCCAGATTCTGCATGGGACTAACTATTCCCTCTTTGGTTCTGAGGCAGTTAGAGGAGCTCACAGAAGGTCAGAGTCAAGAAGGCAGAAGAGACAGAATGGTGGCACATGCCTACAATCCCAGCACTCAGGAGGTGGAAGCAGGAGGACTGCTATGAGTTCAAGACCAGCCTGGGCTACATACCAAGGCCTTGTCACAAACCAACAAACAATAAAAAAATAGAAGGGTCACAGGCCAGCTTACCTAAGGCCCAGGACAGAAATGACTCTCCTGTGCAAAATAGGTGTTGCTGGGAGCAGAGATGAGCCTAAAGGGCCAAGGGACTTAAAGAAAGGACCCTTAGTCTCAACATGGAAAAAATTAAAACTGAAAGAAAAGGGCCCATAACCAGTCAGAGCAGGTTCTGCCATGCCTGCTGATGCCTGGGGCTGACAAAGCCAAAGCTTAAAAGGTAGAAGCCAGAAAGGCTGCCTCCTGCTTCCAACTTCAGGAGAAAGGGCCATTGAGGGACGCTGGCAAGGCTTGCCCAGTTCCTGGCAGTGCACAGGCCGCACACCCAACACCCCACCAGCAGGAGGCCCTACCGCCCACTCACATCCTTGGCTGTTGTCAGAAACCACTCCTTTGCCGTCTCTGCGTTGGTGATGGTCTCCTGGGTGGTAAAGGTCTACAAGAGAGTACAGCAGTCAGCCCCAGTTAAGGACTGGCAGCGGAGGCCATGCTGGTGCCCAGTCAGCACATCAGTGACATTTAGTCCATGCACCCATGATCACACATGTCCACTTGTTAGAGTTATATGTGTAGCAGCAGCACCCTGGAATTCTAGCTGGTCACATGCCAGGGCAGGAGGACCTTGACAAAGGTCACACAGCACCTTCCCTAATCCTGCAGGTCAGTCAGAGGTCAGGCACCTCCCAGGAGAGGGGCTGAGCGCATTCCCTGGGCTCTCTCTAGTCCAAGCTAGGCTGGATCTCAGAATTCACATACAGCTAGTTTGTTTCTTTTTCAGTTTTATATTATTTATTTATTTATTTATTTATTTAGAGAGTGAGTGTGTGTGTGTGTGTGTGTGTAGGTATGAGTGTGAGTGTGCCATGGCTCGTGTGTGGAGGTCAGGGGATAATTTATGGGAG